ATTTTACCTAACTCCAATATTTTAGTCGTTATTATCAAAAAACTTGCAAAACCCACTGTCTCCACGCATACACTTTCTACGCGAAACGCGAGATTCCATATGGGTTTACGAATTTCTATACAATGTGAGATTCAATCCAAATCCTATGTTCTATCCAGATACTGGAATCTTTTGTACTTACTATCAATATGTTTCAACATTGATATCTTAAAACAATTATCAAAATTATGTAAATCAAAAGGTAACTGTGATTTTAATTTTTGAAGAAAATGTTCAAAACGTTCTGAATTGTATCTTAAAATTCTTTTATAATTTTCTGAACTATCGATCGGGAAATGAGTTTCTGATATAATTGAGCGACGAACTTTGGCACACAATTTTCAATATTGTTAGATGCAATATTTTTATCAATTACAAAATTATTTATATTATTATATAAATTTAATAATACTTAATTTCTGGTATGTTTTCTATTTTAAATATTACAGACGTCTGTAATGACGAATTATCTTGCGATTTCTCATCAGTTGAATCTTGTAATTGATGTATTTGGAATGAACATATACTTAAGTGTTTTTGTAATGAAAAAAAAGATGGAAATATCCGATTAAAAAAAATCCGATATTCAAATGTTTTATATGTGCTCCAGTATCTCTGGAAATCTTTTTTAAACAAATTCGACAATTTATTTTATTAGAGCAATCTTTAATGCGATGTTACTATTTAAAAAACTATTTTTTTGAGCGTAATGATATTTTATGTGTCAAAAAAACACTTATGATTACGCAGGAAAACTATCATCCGATCGCATGATTAAACTTCAAATTTCTTTTCTGTTCAGTAAATAATTATATAAATAGTTATATGAATCTAAGAAGCTGTAAATATAATTATTACAATTTTTACTTAACATATTGAAATTTATTCATAATTTTTTTTAATAATCTTTTTATAATTTTTCTTTATAAAACAATATATATAAAAGGAACAAGAAATACCAATGCATAAAAAGAATCCAATTTTAATATGGGTCACTTTATAAATATATCGTTAACATTTTTGTATGTTTTATTAGCGCATTCTTGAACGCGTAATATATTTGATGCATTCCATTTTTGATCAACTTTGCTCTGTGGCTTCTGATTATGGATTAACCACATTTTATTTTGTTCTGTGGTTTGTTCATCATTAACTAAGAAGCATTAAAGAAGTAAGCATTTATTGAACATATATATTGTGTATATATACACACAAAACTTCCATCATTAATTTTAATTAATACAAAATTAATATTAATACCTTAAAAATTAATATGAATACCTTGGCTTACAATAGCAACATTTTGTTCAATTTGAATATTATTTTTTAGTTTTTTAGCAGAACGAATAAATTTTAATACGTTACGAAATTGTCGACTAATTTTCCTCTTGAGATACCAGCTTTATAATTTCTTGAATACTGCTTTCGTATAGGTAGCATATAGTAAGTTTCCTTACATTCTTTTGGAAATAACTCGATTATTTCTTGTGTAATTTTGGCAAAATCTTCGTTTTGAAGTGTTTTGTAAAAGAATAAAATTTAACATCCCATGTGGGAAATGACTACCGGCGAGATAATGGCCCAGTACCGATTTTTGGTACTGAGTATTGGCGCGTTACTAGATGCCAGTACTGATGTGATACTGGAGAAATACTGGGATGATAAAATTGGGCCAAGACTCGAATTACAGTACTATTTTGGTACAGGATTCCAGTATTGCTGCAGTATCGATTTCCATTATTGTTACGGTATTAAATCAGTACCGATTCTCAACATAACAGTACTAAAAATCAGTACCAATCCCCAATACAGTAACAGTATTAAATATCTGTACCGATTTCAAATACTATTATAGTATCAAAAATCAATACTGATTTTTAATACTGTAACAATATTTAAGATTACCCATAAAACATTAAGATATACTTAGTGCATACAATGTATATACATTTCCTGTATATACCATGTGTATACAAAGTGTACATACAT